TATAATGACATACCCACGGGCTATAATGACATACCCACGGGCTATAATGACACACCCACGGGCTATAATGACATACCCACGGGCTATAATGACATACTCACGGGCTATAATGACATACCCACGGGCTATAATGACATACCCACGGGCTATAATGACATTTTCCCGGCTGCTATGTTATTTTTAATTGTTCTTCCTTCATCAACACGGGTACGATTTCATATAAATGCATCATCAATAAAATACAAAGGCGTTTTGGGGATTAATTTCTTGAAATGATGAATTTATTTTTGTTTGGCTTCACACGTGTTCCACATACGTTTTGTGCTAGCAGACAACCACGAGTACTGAACCAAATAAATATATTATAGAAATAAATCACGACAAAGTAATGAAAAAAAAAAAATCTGATTCAGCGTCTGCGCTGTGAAATGTATCCTTTTGACATGATGTGTGCTTCGTTGTTATATACAAAAAGTGACTGGCAGACCGGAAGCAGATCTGTTTTTCGCATACAATATAGCGGCAAGTTTTTTGATCACATAACATATTAGGCCTGAGTAGCTTTGGAAACAGTATGTACAGATACCACAAAAGAACATACGTGTTTTGAAAATCACAAGCTGATTGAGGACACAAGGTGGGAGTAATTGTTTTGTTTGTAAAACATTGTTGATGGGTCGGTAGGACCTGCCCCAAATTTCAAGCTGAAAATCGCCGTGTTAATAACTTGTCAACTCAACGTGTCAAACTTTACCTATGGTTTTTAATTACACATTGAAATTAGCTTTGCTCTATTGAGATGTGTTCTTATTGATATATTATGATTTTCTTGATGTCGATTTCTGGAAAAAATGACCGCTGAATACAGGTGGAGATAACGTCTCCGGCCAGGGTTTTGTGACCGCTGGCCGCATTAGCCAGGTGACTGCTTATTTCAGGTTCATTATATAGTTTTTTCTATCGGGCGGACCACAGACTGATCACATAAGGGAGATGGCTGCTTATTTCAGGTGACCGCTCAAGCAGGTTTGACTGTATATAATTGCACTTTTAATTACATCAGTGCAAGGTGGTTAGGGGAAAGACTAGGCCTGCTGTATCCCGTTAAATGTCGTAAAAGGCGACTAACATTAGGGCCCTGCAGAATCGGGGGCTTTATTCTGTATCTGTTGTTAAGGGGTTCTTTCCCGTGGTCGGGACACACCAAAGTCGTTATAAATGGTAGTTGTTATTATCTGCTTAACCTTCAGACCTTGTAGGTCAGGGACACAAAAGTGACCAAAATGAACTGCTGCATCAATTGTAATATTTTGGATATTTATATTTGTCTCTACTTCTAATTACCTTTAATTTCCTAACGCTTTGCTTAGCAACAACTCACTTTTGGTTTTACTGTTGAACGTTCGCCCAGTTGAGGAAGGCAATGGGTTTTGTCCCAACACGGCACATACCATAGTCTTCATAGATTGTAGTTGTTATTCCCTGCTTAACGACTAGTTCACCGTTTAGCAGTATCATGAGACCGGGCAGAATGCTGTGCTTGGTGCCTTAGGCATGGAACTGCAGTGAGGTAGCGCTCTAACACCGGCATCAGATTTGCACTTTTGCATGGAGGCAAATATATCAACATAGCCTGTCTCCGGCACAGACAATCGCACACATTGCACTTTGAGGAATGCCTTTAAATGGTCTTAGATGGAGGCATGTTGTGAAGGTACCAAACACAGTATTGCATCCGTCACATTATACTGACAACGGATAAACCAGTTGTTGCGATGACCCAAATCGCTGAATGTTTGTTTGTTGGTATATGGTTTTATTAACGTCCCTTCAACGGCTTAGGTCATTTGAAGACATGGAAACAGAAAGTCCACAATCACAAAGTTATTTTCACTCATGGGTTGCGTATATTATCCATACGTTCACTAGTAAAAAATATCAAGATATTTACCCCACTCGAACAATATGACTGTTATGCTTCAAGAAATAAAAAAACGTATTCCATATATAAGAAACAGTTAAGGAGTGAAAATATGTAAGATATACAACCGATGAGTGAAAATAAACAAATGTGATCGTGAACTCTAAGTTTCTCTGTCTTCTTAACTTACAGTGTTTACTATATATTGTATAAGATTGATACTTGCAATACAAAAGAAATATACTTCTAACTACCTTTTATTTCCCAGTGCCGTGCTTTGCAACACCTCACTTTTGGCTATGTTGACTGTAGAACGTTCGTCTTGGCCAGGAAAGCAATTTACTCTTTTCCAGGCCAGAACATACCAAAGTCCTTAAAATGGTAGTTGTTATTACCTGCTTAACGTTTAGCATTTAGGATAATGGCAAAACACATGCAGGCACGTCCTTAAATAACCTTAGCTGTTGATAGGACGTTTAACCCTTTGCATAACATAAAAAACATTGTTATGTATTTTCCCTTTTAATAGATGGAAGCTATTTTGCTGCCCGATAGGAATATAATCAAATTTAAATGCAACCGGTCTGCGATAGATTTAATGGACACATGTATAACGTATATATGACACATTGCACACGGTGTAAATGTTCGCAAAAACAGAATAGGTCAGCTGTATTCTGCTGCTTGTCGTTACGTGCGACTACTGTTTGGCTCTGCAAAGACTTTATTTCGTATCTTTCACTACGAAGACACGGAGGAATCAAAATTGATCTGCTGCCCCCTATCACAACACTTGGGATCTGTGTCTTTTTTCTTAATTCTCTTTTCTTATACGTGCCGGTGTCTCCGTAGCCTCCCGTTTTCATACGCCCTTAGCTGTTGAGAAAATGTGTAATCCAAAACCAAAACTAAAACATACGTATATCAACGGGGGCTTAGACAGTAGTTATACTGTATCAACATTATTAACCATAGACAAATGAGACCTCCTCACATAAAACCATGTTATATCACAAAATAACAATACCCAAATATAAAAAGCCTAGTACAGATTCTTTGTTTATTCAGGAAGTCAGACAAACATATTTTTGTGAATGTGAGGAAAGCAAAACAAAATAAAAAATTAAACGTATAAGAAAAAAACAAAATGAAAATGGACATTACCAAGTCAAAATTTAATAAAAAATGATATATAGTTGCATTTAATAAAATTAGATTTTGCATCGTTAAGTAATCTTGTGAAGTAGGAAGTTTACTTTGGGATTTGTTGATACACCTTTTATCCTAAATATCATTGACAAATACGCTGCATCATAACACCAGATTATAAGTCTGGAATCATGATACCTACAACATATGCAAGAGAAATAAATTACTGTAATGTAAACTTTATGATAGAGGGTAATACATTACTACTGAGGAAAGGGAAATACATTTCCGTCACGTTTGCCTATGACTTTGATAATGAAGAAGAAGTGAGCATTATGATCAAGTTGCAGGAAAATACCAATATAATGTTAGTTTAACAAACACATAAACGGAAATAGATGTACCGCCTGTTCCCTCTGGCAGCCATGGTGATTTTCAGAACAGAGTCAAAGTACTTACTCAAGGATTATCGCACAGAAATCAAAGGTAGCCACCGGTAGCCATGTCTGATTTCAGATCCCTTGTTCAAAATTTAACGTTGGCAGGTAACTTATATTATTTGTTTCTGCGGAAATGACGATCAAAGTATTCCTTCATAAGTTATAGGTCGGAAACCATTTATGAGGACGACGACGCAGACGATGACGAACACGCCGACGGAGTGAAGTTTTTATGGCAACTTTGCTTCGCATGCTACGCAGAAATGTTGATAAGGTTTTCACCACCATGACTGAACTTTAAAAACATTTTCTCCTGTACAACCAAAAGGAACATGGTGTTGATATTTAGACAGAAGCATGTTGGAATGAAGGGCTACTGCGTTAATTCTAATGAATAAACGTCACCCTTATTCAGGGTCACAGTGGTCACTCTGAATAACCAAATTACGAAGGTGACTAAATTAGGTGTGTAGCATACACGGATGAAGGGCTACCGAGTTTCTTGAAAAGGATGACCTTCACCCTTATTCAAGATGACAGGAGTCAATTGTCTTTAAAACATTAAGACAGCATCTTCTGAATAACCATAATACCCATGGTGATGCTATTTGACAAGCAGAATACAGGGCTGAAGGGTAAACAAGTTTGTCCAAAAGAATGACGGACTCATATTCAAGGTCACCGGGGTTGTATATGTTTAAAGCAGCTTTTAAATAACCAAATGGAATATTGTGGTATTATATGTCCAGTAGCCTGCCCAGAATAACCTTTACCTACTTTCAAGATCAGATATGGTCAATTCCGTATAAAGTGTTAACGACATCATCTCAACAAACAAAAGGTTTATTTTGAAATTTGCATGCTGGGATGAAGGACTATTAAGTTCATTCAATGTTATGACCTTGTTAGACTTTCAAGACGACGGAGTAAATGTGTTTAAACCTTTAACATGTTACTTTGAATGACGTAGAGTCATAGATACTACAATTTTGACTATAGCTATATTCTTGTCAATTGTTAGCGTTTCAAAGTGAGATTAATAACAGGTGAGCGATGCAGATCCATTGCTCCTCTTGTTACGACATGCAACTCTTTACAAACACTTTTCGATAGAATACAAAAAACAAAAAACATACACTAAACGAATATCATTTCCAGCCGACCACCAATTTGCCAAAGAAAGTACGATCACGCATTGTATTGCTTAGCCAACATTTGATGATCAATAACGAACTATGTAATATTCATCAATTCTGGCGCTATTTTGATTTCCAGACTAAGAACTCATTTTACATAAACGTTTATAAGTTAATTGAACTTTTTATAGCCACACCCTGCCATTGATACCTCCCCGTGACATGTGTTCATTTCATATCACGAAAAGCGTGTACATGACCTGATCTATTCAGCTTCCACTCTCAACTATTGATCGTCTCTGTAACATATATATCTAAGACAACTAAAACATATCTTTACGTGTTGGACATCAGTGAAGTAAACGGACTATAATATTTTTATGATAAAGTTAAAGTGTTTGTTTGTGCTGTTATCCATGATGGTGTTAATATCAAGCGACATCGTACATAGTATGCCTGGTAAGTTTATATGTATTAATTTATTATAAGTATGAATGAATATAATTTAGAAGATTGTCTCTTGTTAAATACTTTTATAAAAGAAATTGATTGCCATTAATGATTCTACTTTCGGAGTGAAGTCAATTGCTCATCAATTGGTTATGGTTTAATGCATTCAATAGTATTGACGTTATGAAATATCACATATTAAATTCCGAAAAAGAATATCACAAATTGTTACCTTCACTGTGTGTTGACCACCTTTTGTCAAAGAGCTATGCTCCCATATTTGCCTAAGTCGACATTTATGAGTTAATTAATGAGTAAATAAATTCTAGTAGTGAAAATGCGTATACTAGGTAAAACCAATTAAATATGATTTTTAACTGCTGAGACATAAGGTATTGTTAATACGATTATGCAAATATATCCATATTCAACAGACTTAAACAAATACTTTCAACACTTAATAATAATAAACTTTATTATTGAGGATAAAATACATGTTTAGCCAAAGGCTAATCTTCCACGGTCCTCTTGTTAGTAAAAAACATGTGTTAGATAAAATAACATATTTACGCAATCGATATATAAATAAACATGGTAATCTTGCTAGTAAAATACATGTGCTAGTTAAAAGTTACATATATATTGATGCAATCGACATATATAAGGTTATATCACAGTTATCTTAGTTAAGAGTATCACAGAATGCATAAAGTTTCATGCAAAGGTATTTCATCAATTAAATGGCATGTGCCTAATATACATACATGCTAATATAGCAAACAATAAAAATTGACATAGTTATACGCTAATATAGCATAATCTAAAATACTAATATAATTTAGATAAGAAGTCTATTTAGAAAGTAACAAGTTTTGGTTACATGGAGAAACAAGTTAAAATCTAAGACATTGCTATACAGTATTTAGTAAATTTTCGTTTGAAAGTGGTAAAATTGTCTTTTTTCTTTAAGTCAATGGGTAAAACATTCCAGTCATTAATACTGTCAATAAAAAAGTGCCTGGAATAAAAAAAACAGTTCTATGTTTTGGTACATTAAAATTATTTTCAATAGCAAATCTTGTTTTCCTATAGTGACCATCTCGCACTAGAGACACACTATTTGATAAATATTCAGGTACAAGCTGATGTTGACATTTATAAAGCATGCACAACCTTCTGTATTTATAATATTTGTCAATCGGCATCCATCTAAGAAGTTCAAACATTTGCCTAGAAGGTGTGTCAAATGGTACATTTAAAATAAGTCTAGCTGCTTGCATCTGAGGCTTGAGCAGCTTGCCCATTAAATGTGCGGTACACCCTGACCATACCGTACTGCAATACATAAAATGTGGGAAAACGCAAGAATTAAAAAATTTCAGCTTTCCTTCCGTAGGTAGATATGGGCTTATACGTCTCAATAACCCTAACCTTTGCCTTATTCTAGATAAAACAGATGTAACATGACTTCCCCAAGTCAATCCATTATCAATATGTACACCAAGCAGTTTTCCACTGCAAACTTGTTCAAGGGGTTCATTGCACATAAATAATTCTAAATTTAAACAGGTTCTTTTTTGCTTTTGTTTTGAGGCAATGGACATACATTTTGTTTTCTTGACATTTATCATCATTTTATTTTCAATACACCATTCACTAACATTGTCTTTCCCATAAGAGGACTTACTATTAAATACGGAAAACAAATCGTATGCCAGGAAAGTGGTTCTCCTTTTGGAAAGTGCTCAAAATAATGAAAAATAGGGTTGAGTGAGTTTCTTTAAACTGCGCGACTGGTTATTCCTGCGTTAAAACAGTTTGTGTTTCGATATTTGTGTATGTCTGATGTAGCCTAATGTGTAACTTACTTGTGACCAGACCAAGTGAACGCTGCAACTTCTTAGTCACATTCAGGTTCACTCTTTTTTTTCTTTTCCCCCTGTTGTTTGTTTTTAATTTTTAGGCATGTGGTCTTTTTCCTTAATTAAGTAATAAAATATTTTTCGAATCGATGGAAGATTTTATTGATATTTTAATAACATACCTACGGATTTATCTTCTATGCACTCATGTCAACAAACTACTGTACAAGTGTACATTACAGCTACGCTTTGTTGATAAGATTTCATTTTAAATGATATTTATGAATAATGTTTTACCTTCCAATAGGCACTAGTAATTTTATCTACTATTCAAAGACAAACAAATAATGCTGAAATCCAATAAATGGGGGATTATTGATTCAGAACAAAAAAGGCCAAGCAAAAAAATGAATAAATCAATAAAAACTTAATGTTATTTTCGCAAATGTATTACAGAAAATACTGGAAAATTCATCGTTGAGAACAATCTTTGAATAGCAGGAAGACTGCAGCACAAAGTAAAGAGGGTAATATACGTGCAATACATGCTATCCGAAGGTTATATATACATTTGCCATTTAAAGGTGCAGGAAAACAAAATCAAGATGTGTGTTTTGTAAGAAAGCAGGTAATGGCAAGACGCAGGCAGTAACAATGGATTTTTTTTTTCAAAACTTGTTGGTAACGTCCTTATATTATTTGTTTTAGATTCAGCGAAATTACGCGAGATAAGCATTTTGTTGAGTCTTTATCATGAAACGCTTGTACTAATAGCCGTGGTTTTCGGCTGTACTCTATTCCTTGACACAGTATTCCGATAGAGCTATATGTATAACAATAGCCGAGGACACATCATGGCAGTACACGGTGACACGCATGCACTATACTAACAGATCACATCTTTTGTGGAAATAGGCAAAGCAACCTGCCATAGCTCTTTGATAGTATGAATGTTCCGGGTGCTGTCATAGGGGTTGTGATTCGTTGTTGTTTGCACCAAATACAGAACCATGTCGTACGCTTTTTTCCAAAATTGTTAACCTTCAAGCATCGCGGTCATACCCGACTGTGATAAACTTAATAAAAAAAACATTCCACAACGAATTTCTTAGATTACCAGATACGGTGCACAACAATTTACTTAAAAGCCAATTAAAACCAGAATGCTCGAGAGGATGGACTGTTGCTCTTAATTTGCAATAGTTTTGTGGTCATAGGCAGCTGTTGCCTATAGTTAGTCGTCATAGGCCAGTTAGACAATATAATAAATCGTCCCAGAAGTGGACGTCCACGCGTTACGTCGCAAGAACGACAAAGCGATACGTCTGTCTAAACTCCGAAACTGCCACCAATTGGAGACAGAATCAGCTAAATACGACATTGGTAATCTGCTATCCCTATTGCAATATGTGGAATCTTCCTTGTTTCCTATCTTTTCTGTCTCTCTTCTGCCCTATCTACTTACAGATGTATATTAGCATGGTTTTTGTGCCTGACACCGCCGCATGTGTTTCAATATCATCCGTTCTCATAAACGAATCAGACAAGAATTCAGTTAACTTTTAAACTCAACTCTATCGAAATATCTTGAAAACATGTGCCCTTTAAAAATTAAAAACATACTTAGTTGTTTGCCGTTAGTATATTTGATGATCATTGCTTTGTTCTTAAGTGTTTCCAATAATATATATATATATCTGTCCTGACATTTGCCCTACCGTTGCCTTTTTAATGCAGTATGAAATATTAAGTTACCTTCTCGGCATCAAATGACATATAACCATTAATTTGATATACCCCTTCTACTAACACGTTTGGAAGATATCATGAGTCGAAGACTAGAATTATTTACTCTTTTTCAGCACATTACATCCAACAAAACGTGTTGGCGGCTAACGACAAACTGGGTGGAAATTTAAAACGAGTCCGGCGGGCAGGTAAATATCTATAGGTAGATCACTATGATAGAGCTTTGACAGTAAGTACCTCGGCTGAATTTTTAATGGACGAAATTACAATTGTATAGAAGAAAAGTTTGTCTTTTTGCAACGACGCACTACATCATAATTCCACTGATTATGATCGCAGTTTTCTAATACTAAACTTTGCATGTTACACATGTTCAATTTGAACGTAGTCATCGTGAAGGACATATTGTAATATACCAAAGTTTGTTTCCATCTTTATGTTTTGCAGATCAAGGATCACAGGGATTTGGTAATGGTTCAATAAATCCACCAACCGGACGATAAGTCACAACTTTATAATAGACAAAAACACATTGTTATCACAAATGTTAATAAAAACACACTAATTCTGTTTTTCTATTTGTGTTTTTGTTTGATTTCTAAAAAAAGTTGATTTCATAACTACAGCAATGAAAAAGAGAGAGAGGGAGAGCTAATTGATATAAAGACCAGGAGTTCCAGAAGGGTAACCTTCTTCTGTTTCATCGATGACATCTTTGTCGAATCCTATTAAAGTAAACCATCAGAAGCTTAGGTAGCAGTATACAGTAGAGGGTTGTGGCCATGGGTGATATTTTTGTTAGATGGCCAACCCCTGTATAATGATATGTAAAAGAAAATATAAAAATAAAACTGTACTAAAATTGCTATAAGCATGATGAAGTGGGCTATGTGAGCTTCACATTTGTAAAAAAGAAAGATTTTTTTGGTTCGAGAATAAAATTTTGGCCATAATCCGAAAGGGTGCGTACACATGAAAAGCTAGCTTTACAGGAGGTAAAATTTTGACAACAGCACAAGACGCAAAATTGCAAAAAATCAAGTTTTACAACTTTACTGGGACCCAGATAATTCTGCAACTAGGAAGGTAATCCTTAATTTCAGACAGAGCTTAGGAAAAAAAATACTAGTTGCGGGGGTCAAATTTTGGGTTAAAAATAGCATTTTTTGGCATTTTTTGTTAATTTTTTGGTAACCATGGTTTCACACAAGTGACATACATAGAAAAAAAGAGGTTTATACACTTCTTAGTACTTCATATGTATTGTAAATGTAATGCAGTTTACAAATATATATACATGTATACATGTGTTGTGTAGGGTAAATTCGCTGTGTTTACATTTCCTCGACAAGTGCCTTGTTTATCAGAGTCGGGCCATTTCTACTATATACTGCTACCTTATCACACAACGAAAAAGTAATCCGATCAAGATGACGGCCGTTCAACTTGCCTTTAGTTTTCAATAGTCTCCGTGTCTGAAAACCCTGTGATGTGAATTGTGTCTGTCAGTAGACGACAGTGTTAATATCAAAACAAAGAGAAGGAAAGTGTTATTCACATAACAAGAAATGTGGTAACGTTTAGGATTGACCTTTCACATTTTCTGATGGATGAAACACGTTTGAGGAAGATCCTAACATACAAATAAAATTCAACACACAGCGAGAGTATGAATCAATTAATTTATATGAATTAGTGATACATATTTGTTGACAGAAATTATGAAAACAATGTTTTAAATCTAAATCGATTGTCCTCGCTAACATCTAACTGAAAGATGATGTTACTCGTTTTGTATCCATGATCAAATGGCATTAAGATTGGTTGCACTCAAGGAGGAGATGGCAATTGTTTGTTCCCGAATCCCTGTCCAGCATCGTCAGTTCCGGTTGCTGGAAATAATTGAATAATTCAGTAAACGCTTGAATAATGCAGGAAAATAGCTCCTTTAAAACATAATAAGTGGTTTAAAAGAGTTAACAAGCTATGCATACTTGTTAACATTGTATACACTTAAATATTTAATATCAGTATGGATATATGAATTCACAATGTAGTCAAAAGACAGGGACATGTTTACGTTAGTCCAATGCATACTGTTTGTTTTGCTTTTTAAACCATTCCACATTGCGTAGGAGCATAATAGTTGAATATTATATACACATATCAAACCCAACGTTTTGCTGTTAACATCCATTCTATGATATTATTTAGATTCCCAAGTTGTAATTCTATTTCACTTATTTGATTTATGTATTGTACGTTTGTGACTTTTGACTGATTGATTATAGAATCCATAGAGGAGATTTAATAAACCAAAATTTCATGTCCGGGACAGTTGAGTTCCTGAGTTTGATTCTTACGCTTGTTTTCTGCTTCTTAATTATATTAAATATGAACTGGTGATATTTTCCTCATCATTAAATTAGTATGATGTTTGCAATATTTGTGTGTATAACAAGTCATCTCTTTAAAAAGGTGATACCAAATTAATTTTAAATAAGTAATAATATGTATTTGAATTGCTGATTGTACGTTTGCGAATACTAAATATCACTTATTCAAATCGAAATTTGTGTTTAGTTTGATGATATGAATAAATATATAAATTGTGTTAAGTTTGATGATATGTATAAATATATAAATTGTGTAAAGTTTGCTGATATGTATAAATATATAAATTGTGTTAAGGTTGATGATATGTATAAATATATAAATTGTGTTAAGTTTGTCGACAAAATACCCCAACGATGTAAAGGTAGTACTGACAGCAAAAACAATATATTGGGGACCACGAGGCGTACTTTTGACGTCACAAAATAATCTCAAAACAATCTGACGTTAACTGTGTATAATGAACTGAAACTCTGACGTCAACTGTTTATAATGAACTGAAACTCTGACGTTAACTGTTTATAATGAACTAAAACTCTGACGTCAACTGTTTATAATGAACTGAAACTCTGACGTCAACTGTTTATAATGAACTGAAACGCTGACGTTAACTGTTTATAATGAATTGAAACTCTGACGTTAACTGTTTATAATGAACTGAAACTCTGACGTTAACTGTTTATAATGAACTGAAACTCTGACGTTAACTGTTTATAATGAACTGAAACTCTGACGTTAACTGTTTATAATGAACTGAAACTCTGACGTTAACTGTTTATAATGAACTGAAACTCTGACGTTAACTGTTTATAATGAACTGAAACTCTGACGTTAACTGTTTATAATGAACTGAAACTCTGACGTTAACTGTTTATAATGAACTGAAACTCTGACGTTAACTGTTTATAATGAACTGAAACTCTGACGTTAACTGTTTATAATGAACTGAAACTCTGACGTTAACTGTTTATAATGAACTGAAACTCTGACGTTAACTGTTTATAATGAACTGAAACTCTGACGTTAACTGTTTATAATGAACTGAAACTCTGACGTTAACTGTTTATAATGAACTGAAACTCTGACGTTAACTGTTTATAATGAACTGAAACTCTGACGTTAACTGTTTATAATGAACTGAAACTCTGACGTTAACTGTTTATAATGAACTGAAACTCTGACGTTAACTGTTTATAATGAACTGAAACTCTGACGTTAACTGTTTATAATGAACTGAAACTCTGACGTTAACTGTTTATAATGAACTGAAACTCTGACGTTAACTGTTTATAATGAACTGAAACTCTGACGTTAACTGTTTATAATGAACTGAAACTCTGACGTTAACTGTTTATAATGAACTGAAACTCTGACATTAACTGTTTATAATGAACTGAAACTCTGACGTTAACTGTTTATAATGAACTGAAACTCTGACATCAACTGTTTAGAAGATCAAAACATGAGAAAAAAGCATGACATCAGTTGGTCTTTGAAGACTGGAATTAGTAGTAATATCTTAATACTTGGTTCATCAAAAATTACTCTAAATCGTTTACATTAAATGAAAATGGATTAAATGTTGGTAATTAAGATGCAGATTACGCTTACTCAATAAATGATTTGTTTCCGTTTGGAAAATAGAAAACCTCAACATGAAGAATATTGCTGTAATATCATTAAAATGATACTGATATGCCACATAAATGTACAAAGATAACTAATTCTGTGCGCATGTTGCGCATCAGGCGCCTAATCAAATGGGGGGGGGGGATATATTTCGATGTCAGCACGGTTTAAATGACGTGTAATGCTAATGCTTTAAGTTTGGCTGTTTATCCCTTATTATTTATTCCTCCATTATAATTTGATATTTTGTATTATGGTCTATTATGCAAATATTTTGATACACACTTCATTTCAGATTGTTGAAATATGCAACTCCTTAGTAACAAACAGAATGCAACAAACAACAACTGATGTCCGTTACTTACTATCTTCTCGTCGTACACGTAACGCCGATCTCTCCCCATCGGTACTCAATAGTATACTCGTTCGGTCTCTTTTATCTGCAAAAATGATACAGTTTAAATGGAATAGTATTACGCATCATCATTTGACTGTATTCACTTTTCATCGAACAAGGTTACAAAGGATGCATTTCTATGATTTAGATGCAGCATCTTATATACTTTATAACAAATTCAATATTGATTTTTGTTGGCAACGTGTCAACAAAACCACAATTAAAAAATGATAAAACTAAAACAAAATATAAAGGTTTCTTTTTTTACATGACAACTCTATAAAAAGCACAAGGAGAACAAGACCAGGCTTGCAAACATTCAAACATTTAAGCTTTATATCTTTGTATGATTAAATGTATCATTTTGCAGCATCAATAGAAGGTCGGAATCAATTCAAATTATACAGGCTGCTTCCTACTAGGAACTATTGTTTCAAAGACAGCAATATGTAGCCTGTTATGTTCCATTGGTACTGGGGAAACAGTCAAGGATTTGACTGTTACCCCAGTACCAATGAATCAAATGATTTATTACCTGACTCTCTATTTGAGAAACTTCCTGAATTGTGCGAGTTAGGATAAATTATTTCTTGGTATAAAGATTCCCTTCCTTGGTTCTCAATGCTACGTAAAATCTACACAAAAAAACTCATTCAGTTCTTCATTACTGCACCCTTCGTCGATCATAACACCTTTCTCGGCACAATATTTATCCAAAATATTCACAGCTCCCTTAATGACGTTTTTGTACTGAGTGAGTCACTATTGTCTATAAGCAATTCCAAATTGTCAGAAACATCCTCAAATCTGCCGTTATTCGCCATTTTTACTAGACGACAACAAACAAATCTGTATCAAAAAGATGCTTGAGTGGGGCCGCCGACGGGGAAATTGTCTGCGCACGATTGTCGCTCATGCAACAGTAAGTGTGCAACAGTCAACTGTTGCACCCTGACATTATTTTACCGGTTTTCAGTCTTTTTCAGGGATTTCTTTTTATTAAAACAGTCAAAAATACTTCATATACACTTAGATAGAGAGTCATGTAATAATGACAATTGTTAGACGGCAAAATAGAGCGTAAGGGGGTCCTTATATTGGAAGGAACTGGAGTACCTGAAAGTAAAACCAATAGTATCCGTACAAAACCTAAAACTGTTGGGCTGGTGACTTCATGATATTAAACGTCAAATGAGAATATAAAAAATCTGATTATCTTTGCGAAAGACAACGAATGACAAAGTTTATATGAATCCTACAAAACAAGTCTTTGACAGGAACTGAGGAAGACATCTTGGTTGATTGAAAAAAGGGCAAGAGTTATTTTCACCACCTTCGGCATATTGTTGAATGTGATGTTAAAGTTTTCAATATTTTGTTAAGTGTCTATTACACCAAAAAAACACAAAGCGGCAATTAAACCAACATACCCTGTCTCCAACACACACGCACGCAAACACGACACATGTGGTGACATGTCCTTAAATGACCGATAGGACGTAAAACCCTGTACATCCAACCTTAACTTATGAAATAAGTAATGGGTAGGTATTCATCATAGTGTACGCCAATTCGTAATGACAACCACAAACTTTCCTTAACGTAGATTAAAGCTACAGTAATACAAACGTTTGGTTGATATACTGAAATATAAAAGTTATATATTGAATATATATGTAATTACACATTACTAAAATAGTTTCTAAGTTTACATAACCCGACTTCCTATAATATTTAGACCCCCTGCGCAGTACTATCAAGATCAAAAACAGTATTTGTAATTTGTTATATTCTGTTTTTAAAATCATGTGAAACAAAGATGAATCCTCAGTTCAACCGCTTTTTTGTTTTAGTGTATATCATTACAGGTTAGAGTACGTGAACAGACGTTTACAATATTTACGCTATAGGAATACAGGTGTGCATGTCAGCACCAGCCTTAAACTACATTCGGTAGAAAGGGTAATGTGTTATTTAAATGATAGATTCTTTTAAATTACTGCAACTTAATACGATTATGCATGTACATTTGTACATGTATATACTTACACGGTACACTGTTAACAGGTGCGGTCGATAGCAAGGCAAACACTACAAGAAGGACCGAAACACTCCACGGATTCATGACGAAAGTATGAGGTCAGTACATACGCTGAGGTTTTGCAAAAGTGTTTTGCTAAATATTGTCAATTTATAAGACATTAAAAGTCAATCTTTCTACGTGAGTCCACGTTTACCCCCGAACAATGTCTTTGATATCGAGTACTTCATTAATGGACATATGTTGCCACATGAGTACCAAAGGTGTATAGGTGAGGCGAAATGTGTTACCTTCTTTCACATTCACTACACATGGGATTATATGTCCTCTCTATTGTTGTAAATTAATTTGTAATACACAAACACAGAGTTGATAATTTGTTTCTGTACCAGATTGTACTTTTATGTTACATATTGATGATTTGCTGAAGGCAGCTAGACATAGTTAAAACAATTATACTAAATATTTATGAATTTGTATTGTCCAAAGTACACTTTTGTGATGCGCAAACGACGAATTTATACAAAACCTATTTTCAAAGTTCTTGTTTTGTGATCAGAAGCATCCTTTTCACGCTATGGACAGCAGAAATTGTACCACGACCGCTTTAAACTGTTTATTTAATTGCAGATGTCACTTATTTATATATAGAAGGATACTGTAAATTCTATTTAAAATGTATTGCTGGTAAAAATTGTGTACAACCAACCTTAACTTATGAAATAAGTAATGGGTAGGTATTCATCATAGTGTACGCCAATTCGTAATGACAACCACAAACTTTCCTTAACGTAGATTAAAGCTACAGTAATACAAACGTTTGGATGATATACTGAAAAATAAAAGTTATATATTGAATATATATGTAATTAAACATTACTAAAATAGTATTCTAAGTTTACATAACCCGACTTCCTATAATATTTAGACCCCCTGCGCAGTACTATCAAGATCAAAAACAGTATTTGTAATTTGTTATATTCTGTTTTTAAAATCATGTGAAACAAAGATGAATCCTCAGTTCAACCGCTTTTTTGTTTTAGTGTATATCATTACAGGTTAGGGTACGTGAACAGACGTTTACAATATTTACGCTATAGGAATACAGGTGTGCATGTCAGCACCAGCCTTAAACTACATTCGGTAGAAAGGGTAATGTGTTATTTAAATGATAGATTCTTTTAAATTACTGCAACTTAATACGATTATACATGTACATTTGTACATGTATATACTTACACGGTACACTGTTAACAGGTGCGGTCGATAGCAAGGCAAACACTACAAGAAGGACCGAAACACTCCACGGATTCATGACGAAAGTATGAGGTCAGTACATACGCTGAGGTTTTGCAAAAGTGTTTTGCTAAATATTGTCAATTTATAAGACATTAAAAGTCAATCTTTCTACGTGAGTCCACGTTTACCCCCGAACAATGTCTTTGATATCGAGTACTTCATTAATGGACATATGTTGCCACATGAGTACCAAAGGTGTATAGGTGAGGCGAAATGTGTTACCTTCTTTCACATTCACTACACATGGGATTATATGTCCTCTCTATTGTTGTAAATTAATTTGTAATACACAAACACAGAGTTGATAATTTGTTTCTGTACCAGATTGTACTTTTATGTTACATATTGATGATTTGCTGAAGGCAGCTAGACATAGTTAAAACAATTATACTAAATATTTATGAATTTGTATTGTCCAAAGTACACTTTTGTGATGCGCAAACGACGAATTTATACAAAACCTATTTTCAAAGTTCTTGTTTTGTGATCAGAAGCATCCTTTTCACGCTATGGACAGCAGAAATTGTACCACGACCGCTTTAAACTGTTTATTTAATTGCAGATGTCACTTATTTATATATAGAAGGATACTGTACATTCTATTTAAAATGTATTGCTGGTAAAAATTCTTGACATATAACGATATTCACAAAATACTGTATCTCCATCCAATCACCAATATTACACCAAACAATCAAATACTGTATCAACATGAAAGCAGAAACCAGCCACCACTTGAAGACGAAGATGTTCACCACAAGAGTTATAAACTTATGATATAATGTTAATTTTATCTCAGTGCGTCCAAACTGCCTATAAAACAAACGTTTCTGTAATATCGATACTTCATCCTAATATTTTCTACACGAAATTCTGGGCACTTATGTATATAATGTTAATCGATATCATAGTTAAACTTTTGGAGAAAGAGTAGAGGTTTATCTTGATTACATTTACATTTGTGGACAACCATGGTCTTATAATATGCGAACAGTAACCAAGCACTTTCAGATCCTTATCGAATAACAAAGATGACCAAGCAAAGTAATTCCAGTTGTATTTATTCAGTCTTTTTAAAATATTACAATAAATGAGAAGTAACAACGAAACAAATTACCAATAGAACATGTTTTTTTGTTGGAAATCGAACATCAAACGTGCCAAAATGGCATCCAAGCCCGGTACATCTGCCAACGCATAAACTTACTTCACCTTACACGGCCCATCCTTTAGAAATCCACATATAAATGGTTTCCATGTGTAGCAATTGCGGTCTTTAATAATGCCCATTTTACTGTCTAACGCCCCACAGTCGGCTTCAGTGTCTGCCTTGTCAGGATCAATGTTACTAAGTTGTCCATTTCCTTTAAAGTTGTTTGCAGACTCTTTCGTTAACCATTTCCAATTTCCTTCCTTAGCATTGTCCGACATACCAATCCAATAGAAATCATTGGGAAACTCTACAAAATATAAAATAAACTTTGACATTATACAGCCTTACCCCGTCATTCCACAAGCCTGTCATCGCACTATCATCTTACTTTATTTAGCTATCTGAATAGTTTAGGGAACAACAATGTATCAGTACACAGTATTGCACAAATGCACGTCAAGTTTATCTAAGTCAAATGAGTGTTTACAATATGCACAATACCAATATTATAGTAATAAGTGTACGGCGTCACCATAGGATATGTTATACTTATTTATTCTGATGAATTTATCAAGTCAATATTAGGAATAATTGTAAGAATAAAAAAAATAAAGCATTTTTTTTTTTTACAGAAACGTTATCAGTAGAAGGTTAGAGAGACATTAATTCGTAATTGATTTTTTTTATATTCATTAAAAGTCTCAAAAAATGTGATAATCAAATAGTGGTATTTGAATGCGATATGATGTGACAGATTAAACAAAATATGATATGATTTTGTGTTAGATACCTGTGATAGCTATAGGTAGTGATCAGCTAGAAAAACAATTAACCTCTCGGAAAAGAGAAATTTTGGTGTTTCTTTAAGATCACACAATATATGTACATTAAAAGGGAATGATTCTTGGTTGTACCAAAGAAAGCACAAATACTTGTTCTGTCATTTTTCTTACCTAAGGTGATTTGCTTACTTTTCAATACAAACTGTAACGAAATAAAACCTACTGTTCAGTTTCTGTATAACGATCTTGTATTTTGCATATGGCGTTGGTACCAGGAGTAAGCCGTTGATGTCTTCGCAAAAACTGCTAGCAGCAGCCCACGTTTTCTTTTGAGGATATACTTGAAAGCAGAAATCCTCCTTGCTATTGTATATAAACCCCCTTATTTTGCAGACTGAAATAATATAAAATATAATTTTAGTTACAAAATATACAAAACATAGATACAAATAACAGAAAGTTTTTGATATAGAATTAGCGTTAATATCATTAAAAAAACCCATATACATATGTTCACGTTTAGTGGAACAGCCATATGCCAGAATAATATATTAAGGTTTATTGAAAAAAACAATCTTTTTTATTTGATAGCATAAATTAACTAATACTTGAATATGTAAATGATAGCAGAAAAGTCCTTGCCCAATCAATCCCTGTCATACAGTAAATGTAATAAATGGTTGATTCTTTGCTTCTTTGTTTTTGACTTGTATAATTTGAAATCCTAAAATAAGTGCTTTAAAAGAATGTGATTTATTCTGGCAAATCAGGTGAAATATGTTTTATAAAACCAAACAAAATATTACCTAAGGATACCGATTTATCACAAGAGTTTCATTAAAAAAATAATAATAACGTGTTTTGAAAGAAAGATGGCATGCTTTTAATACAAATCAGACATTTTACCATATAACTCACACAATTTAGAAATATATAAAAAAGGTTCGTAGTTTGATCAATAAAGTAAGAACATCAGGACATAAATCAATGTTTAAGCCGACATACTTTTTAAGGAATTGATATTTTTCACAACTAAAAGATTCACATTGCATTTTGAAATCCTTTGACTACAATTTGTATTAAGTACAAGCACATACACATTTACCTTGGTTTTCAGTGAAGAATTTACTGCCTTTATCGTGCTTGGTATCGCTGTAAGGGACAACTGTATCGTTGTTCCCAACACACGTTGTGCTGTTCTGGTTATAAAATCCAGACTTGCAGTTTACCTGCTTACTACACATTGACATACAGCCGCTTAGCGATCCAATTGATTTCTTGAACAATGCTTGCGACGATTTCAGCACCCTGTTTGGCAATGATTGGCTCATTTCATATTGCATTTCTGTAGGACATGCAGCACCTGGGAACAAGGGAAAACAATTCAAAACCTTAATTAGGCCTATTATAATGATACGTCATATTTTCAACCATGTCCTCAATATTGAATGATATATTGATTACCGCCTTAAAATATCTTGATTATACATTCGAATTAGTTCCCGTTGAAAGTAGGCTTTTATGGATTGATAAGGAGCATTTTCCATCATAATTGTATTTCCGAATTTCTAGTGTATTTAACAGCATTCGACAATATGTTTGGAGTGAAATTATCTGCTGCGATATATATCTATCCTAAATTATATTGGACGCCTTTTATTATGTCATTTCCCAAACACGCTTTAGCTACGTATTCTGTTGTCAGAACACGCTATATCAACCAATGAAATGGCGTCTCCTAAACATGCGCCGTCACGTTGTTATCAAGCGTGACGTAGTTAAGTATCTTGTAGATGTTGAAAACACATATTTGTAAAAGGTTATACAATAGAAATACGATATCAAACAATAAAGCAGCAAAGAGAAAGAAAAAAATATACTTCCACTTTATTACAAGTTATACAACAAGTTATACATTTGTTTCTCTTCTTATGGATTCACATGATATATAACAATCACTCTCATTATTTATCCAACAAATCAAGTAATTCAAATTGTATTGTTTTCTTCTAATACATGTAGATTCGACTACCTCCATGAGGTATGCGTCGTTTTCAACCTAAACATTCCAAATCTAAATGCTGAATAAATGGTATAACATTTTCCGATAGTTGAATACGCTGTGTAATAAGAAACAAGACATTGATATATACTTATCTTTTCAGCATTTCGAAAAATGCCAATTTTGATCAATCGTGCAGCACCTCAACATACACATTCAAGACAAGTGGAGATACAATTCTAAGGAACTAAACAGTTTTTTTGCATTAAGTACACAATGAATAAGACCGTGACTGTTGTATATATGTATTTAATCTACGTAAACGTTTGTTTTTGTTGTTGTATTTTATTTTGTATGAGCCCCTTGAAGGTTTAGGGTAAGAATTAGCCTTATGTATTCCAATGCCTGTTATTGTAAGATGCGGTAAATATGTCCCCTGAAGAATCTTGCGTTCTCTGTTTTTTTTGCCCTGGATACATTGCAAAAACGAAAAGTGATATGCCGCCCCATTGCAACACTTCAGATGTATATCTCCCTACTGTTTCTTCACGACGGGGTTAACCTTTGCATCCATTTTCATAAGATGTTTGCTTTGTGGGGAAGTTAATTTCCAGACACACACGCAAGCAATGACTTGCATGAACAACAACTGGTCTAGATCTATAAATTTAATGAAAGTAGTGGCATTTGAATCCTGATCGTTATGCAAAGCAAAGTTGTAGAAGTACATATCTAACAAATTTCTGAATCTGATTCCGATACAAATCAAAGTTGGTGCCTCGTCAAATTTTGATTTGTAAGACACCACTCGTCACAAATTTGTCATCTCCCGTTAACTAAGGTGGGACCACCAGCAGGCCTGCATCACAATTGTAAATAATTAATAGTACTTAAGATCAATATCAGTATTTTATTTTGACTGAATGATTCTTGATTACACTTCAAAATAGACGTACTCTAAAATATTACTAAAACTTTCTGATGCCATTTGTAGTAATTTTCTGATGCTATGTGTAGTAGTTTTCTGATGCCATTTGTAATGTGAGTCCCCTTCCAGAATCGGAATCAGAATCAGAAATTTGGTAGATATGTTCTAGACATTTTGCACTGTTGTTCTACTGTTTATGTTTGATGTTGTTTCGCTTATGTTGTAAAAACTAGAAGTTGTAGGATCATTTCTATTATATATCATCTCGGTATATACAGAGGCCCCCCCCCCNGGTTGATATTACATTCAAATATGTTTAACAATAGTAGATCTGTTCTCCTGGCACTTTGACAGGTGAGTCATGAAATTACTACACCACTTTTAGAGGATTTTAAAGAATCAAATTCGGAAAAGAACTTGCGCACAAGATGTGGGACACGGGCAGGAAATGGTCCTGTTAGGCGAATACTAAGAGTTGTCGGTGTTAAATCAAACGGAACCAGTGGTTGTAACCACTCTGGCCTGAACAATAATAATCTCATCCATTTGGTCACTACAAATGATCTGTCCGCCTCGCACAATTTCTTGTAACATCTCGGGACATTAACAATCTTACATTGACAGAAACCTGGTTAGGTTCAGATATCGATGACCAGGTACTAGCTGAGCTAATACCAGCAGGCTATGGATTCCTCCACAATGCTAGACTCGACAAACGTGGTGATGGGGTGGCTGTTCTGTTTAAGAAAGGCCTAAGTGTGATACATCTCTTTTCCATTCATGATGATGTATAAACACACTTTGAGCACGTGACTTGTATCATTTACAGGCCTCCTCCATCTAAACAGAATGCTTTCCGAAATACAGTGTTTTTTGATGAATGGTCTACTTGTTTAGACCACCAAGTTGTTGTACCACCGAGATTATTATCACGGGTGATCTAAATTTCCACTTAGACTATCTATCGTATGTTGATGCTCGCCAGTTCTCTAGGCTACTATATTCCAGGAGTCTGATTCAGCATGTGACAGAAGCTACGTACACAGACCCATGGCCACTCACTGGATGTGGTCATAATCTACTGAAGGCGGGGTTCATTAATAGAAGCCCGTGTAGAAACACGCACCTCTACAGACTAAGGTGATAACTGTGAGACCGAATGCCCGGTGGTATAATGAAAATCTCCGCGTAGACAGAACCGTAGAAAAGCAGAGAGACAGAGGTGAAATTATCCTACCAAGCTGTAATTCTGAAAAAGACTTATCAAACAAGTTCAGTGATTGCTTTCTGAATAAAATCAGCTCAATCAGGAAAAATATTGATGAAGTGAACTCTTCTGCTGACAATGATATCTCTGTCATGACTGCCGACATTGAATTTGATGAGGAACCATTGGCAAAGCTCTCACCAACAACCCAGAACGAATTGCGCAATATCATCATGACCTCGCAATCGAAGTCCTGTGAGCTTGCTCCGCTGCCTACAGAATGTCTTGAAGCACTGCTTCCTTTGATTACCTCAATTATGAATGAACAAAGCATTGGCTGAGTCAAAGGTTCCATTGTGTTTCAAGAAGGCACATGTAAAACCATTGTTAAAGAAGCCTGGAATGGACAAGGAGGAGTTGAAGAACTACCGCCCAGTTTTAAATCTGCCTGTTCTGTCTTAGATCTTGGAGAAGGTTCTGCCTTGCAAACAGTCTCCATGGCAACATGCAATCGGCCTACCGCATGGGGCACTCTACTGAGACGGCCCTCATACATGTACCACATAACTTCTGCATTGGATAACAAGTGCAGTGCGGTTCTTGTCATTCTGGACTTGTCAGCTGTATTTGACGTCATCGACCATGGCATACTTTATAAACGTCTGGAATACTCTTATGGAGAGACTGATACCCCACTATGCTGGATACAGTCTTATCTGAGTGAAAGACGACAGTGGGTTGCCATCGGATCAACCACTTCACATGACAAAGTACTAGATTTCGGGGTTCCTCAATGGTCGTTGATAGGACCCCGAGAATATTGCCTGTACTCCAAACCGATTGGAGAGATTTGTCGTCGCCGTAGTCTACGCTATCATTGCTACGCTGATGACACACAAATGTACATGGTCATCAAACCACAAGACAGTTGGGATACAGTTTCAGAAAATCTGGAAGCTTGTCTGACAGATATCAGTACCTGGATGAACGCCAACATGCTAAAGCTTAATGTGGAAAAGACGGAACTAATCGTCTTCTCCTCAAAGTGTCAGCAAACAATGGCTCTCCAGCTCAAGGTCGGTGCCAGAACTATTGAGACTGTCCCAGCTGTAAAAAACCTAAGGGTATACTTTGATAGTTCATTGAACATGGAGAAACAAGTGAAATCCTGTTACTACCAGATCAGGAGCATCGGCTGTATTCGACAGTTTAGAACTGAAGATGCATGCAATATTTTGGTGCATTCACTTGTTACCTCTCGGTCGGATTATGGTAACGCCCTGCCCTGTGGTATATCTGACAAACTAACTAGTCGTCTGCAGAGGGTCCAGAACACTGCAGCACGGCTGGTTACTCGTACTCGAAAGAGAGAGCACATCCCACCTGTGCTATACGCATTGCACTGGTTACCTGTACGATACAGGTCGCAGTACACAATTGTGGTGTACACATACAAGGCACTGAATGGAGCAGCTCCTCAGTACCTACAGGAGAGTGTTACCATGTATCAGCCGTCACGATCACTGCGGTCGGAGTCAGGATCATTGTTGTGTGTCCCAAAGGATCGTACTGTGACCAATGGAAACCGGTGCTTTGGGAGGGTTTGGGCCACGTTGTGGAACAGCTTACCATCTGCTGTTAGAAAGTCAAATACCCTGGGCAAATTCAAGAGAAACATCAAAACTCACCTCTTCACGTCTGCAATTAATGGTCTATGCAAAGACGTCAAGTAAATACCACCCTTTATTTGATCAATTATGTGCACATTGCTTGCTTAAATGTATAAAAATATTGTAAGCCTCTGTTTTTGTTTCACAATTATAACTATTACTATTATCCATATGCTGTAAAGCACTTTAAAGTAATTTTACAAATGTTGTATATTATAAGTATCAGTTTGGTTATGATTTAACAGAAGACGGTTCCGAGAAGTAAAATAACAAATACGAAGTTTCCTCATTAATTGCATACGTTATGTAAGCTTGAAGCTCGCACCTATACATGAGTCTCTCAGATTTAGGCTAATAAAAGCCAAGGATAATTTCTCTCTGCCATCATCTCGCTTTGTTGATGTGGTCTATATAATTACCGGTATTTAGCAAGTCCTTTAACTGGAGGCTAAACAAGAATGTTCGTATTCTTCATTTGAACCCAGTGACGTTATGTTTGTAAACAATACGTTTCTAAAAAAAACTATTTAATATGATGTACATACGTTTGCAAGAA